ATTGGATCAAGTTCAGCAAATAAATCTAACCAATTTTGTTTATCTGTAGATTTTCCAGTTGTTGCTTTTGGTTTAGAATCTGTTGAAGATGGCATTGTTGGTTTAACAGTTTTATTTGATGATGTTAATAATTCACTGAGGAGAGATGATGGAAGAAAATTATTATTATTATTATTTAATGCACCAGAATTAGTAGATGTTTGAACTAGTTGCTGTGGTTGTTGTTGATTTGATATATTACCAAATGCAGCTGCCCAATTAGATTCAAAACTATTATTTTCATTTATGTCAAGGAGATCACTATTTGTATTATTATTGGGATTATTAATTTCTGATGATAATGGCGAAAGAAGATCAGCAAAAAGTTTGTCATGTTCAATAGATGAGTCAAATAAGTCAACAAGATTATCACCATTTTCTGATGGATTCGATGTTGTACTTGTATTAGCAGCGGCTGTTGTAGCTTTATCAATGATTGTTAATTTTTCTAATTCAAGAAGTTGATTATCAAGTTGATCATCTGATATATCCAGTAATGCATTGACTGGTTCATTTGAATCAGTAGTTGTTTTTTGTTCTTCTACTGATGAATCAGTAATATCAATAAGTGTCTGATCATCTTCTGTGTCTTGTTTTGTTATTTTCTCATCTTCTTCTTTATTCTTGTCACTATCTTTATCAGTAAATGAACTTGAATTCATTTCAGCTAATAATCGACTTGGTTCCGCAAGATCTTTAATAACAGTAAATTCATAATATTGATAACCTTTAAATGATTCAGCAACAGCTGACATTGTCTTGGAAGTTTTTGCCCAAAAGGCAAGTAAAGTTTTTTGATACGTAGCTAATACATGAGAATACATATTGCTAAAAATAAATAAAAACATCATATGATCATATAATCTTTATTTCACTTCTACCAGAATTACTCAACAAATTTTCGAAAATAATATCTATCAATTTTTACTTATTTAAACCTTCCAATTCTTTTATGCGTAAAATATTTTAAGTGAAAATCAAATCTATGTATTGACTTATGTATAAAAGTCTTAGCTACTCAATATCTTTAGTTTGAATAAATTATTTATCGTATTACTCACCATCGACTAGCTGTGAGTAAATCAATTTTTTGTATGACATCCGATTTTAATCTATCATAATCAGTCTTTGCTACTTTCACTTGACTTTGTACTCGACGAAATTTTTCTAATTGTTTTTCTGGATCAAGTTGTGCGGAAGCATCTTTTAACCATAGAATACTACCACGATATTCTGTTCTTGCTGTTTCCATTCGTTTTACTGTTGTAAATGTATCTGTTACTGCACGAAGACGAAATGTTTCGATTTCATTATGTAAACGTAATAATGGTTGTCGTAAACTTAAACGTTGTTGTGCTGTAAATGCAAGTACTTTAGATACACTTGCCATGATTTTACCTGCACGATTTTTATCTGCTTGAGCATAATCTTTTAAAAATCGAGCCATATCTGTTTCTTCATGAGAAAGAATAAGAACATTTGTTTGATAACGATCCATAATCTAAATAAAATAAGAATTTTATTTTAATAATATAAAACGAAAATTCAACAAAACCTACACGAAGTAAATCATGACATGATTTTTTAATTGTAAAAAGTAATTCAAGTTTAGCATCAACATCAGCATCCGATGCAATAACAAATTCATCTTCTTCTCGGCCAAGTTTTTTAATTACAAGTTGTTTTGTTGTCCAATATTTTGAACGTAATTTACTCAAACTATTTCGATCTTGCTGTTCATTATATTTATTATCATATTGAAAATTATTATTTGAATTTCTATAACTCATCTTGCATATATAGATATTGCTGTTGTGATAAATCGAAAACGAACGAAAGAGAGAGAGAGAAAAATAACACCTTGAATCATTCGATTTTTTCCTGATTCATAATCGAAATTTTTATTTTTCATTCTTTCAAACCAATCGAGCATTTTATTTCGACCTCTGTTGAATAAGATTGCAATTGGTTAATGCATCTAATCGTAGAAAGAAGCACACACGTCACCTAAAGAAAGTAGACAAAACGAATCAGAATTTCCATACAATTCTTGTTTCTAATTTGATTGAGTAGAAATAAATCCTAACTTTATTATTTAGATTTAGAATAATTATTCAAGAAAGAACATGACTCAAGTCGGACAAGTCGTTGGTATTTTACGTAAACTTAATGAAGAATATCAATCAAGTACACCCAAGAAATTAAAATTAATTGATGCCTATTTAGTTTATGTTCTATTAACTGGTATTGTGCAATTTGCTTATTGTCTTCTTGTTGGAACATTTCCATTCAACTCATTTCTTTCCGGTTTTATATCAACTGTTGGTTGTTTTGTTTTAGCTGGTAAAATTTAACGTTTTTCTTTTTGTTTTTCTCAATAAAATTTTCTGTTTATTTTTCTAGCAAGTTTACGTATACAATTAAATAAGGCAAATCAAATAACATTTAATGTATCACCAGAACGAGCATTTGCTGATTTTGTCTTTGCTCATATTATTTTACACTTAGTTGTTGTTAATTTTATTGGTTAAAATGAAAAGACAAACAAAACAATAAACATTTTACAATATCTTTATCATTTTTGGGCGTTTCTATATTGTTTTAGCGTTTTTTTGCGTAGTAGTTTCATTGTTGATTTTTTTCTCTCTTCGTCTTGACGCTCTTGTTTTTCATTTTTGTCT